GGGAGCGGGGGGGAACCCCGTTCTCCAAACGGCGTGCAAGCAAGCAAGCAAGACAGAGAGACAGAGAGACAGAGAGAGAGAGAGACAGAGAGAGAGAGAGACAGAGAGACAGAGAGACAGAGAGAGAGACAGAGAGAGAGAGAGAGAGAGAGAGAGAAAGAGAGACAGAGAGCGAGAGTATGTGACAGTGAAAGGCACGTGAATGAGAAAGCAGGAGAAGCCAATGGAGCAGGAAAGCACGCGAAGGGAAAAGGAAAGAAGAGTGGCAGAAAGATCGAGGCACAAAGCAAAAGAGATGAGGTGCCAGTATGATTAAAGAGAACAGAACGAGAAAGACAAGCAAGAGAAAGAGCGAGAATGTGAGAGAGAAACAAACACCATCTCAAAGACACGCCAGCAAATTGAATTTGACAATTGAAGAAGCAGCAGAGAGATGGAGGGCCACAGACAGAGGAAAGAAGCCAGACACAGACGGTGAGAAGGGGTATTGCCACCCAGCAGCCGAACGAGTTTCTTCTTCTCGGCCCAGGCAACGATCTTGTCGATCCTCGACCTGGGATACACTTGGGACGGTTGCTTTGATTTGAATACCGAAACAGTTAGATGTTGGAGTATAGGGCTTAGGGCTTATATAGGGTTTAGGACAATAAGTCATTGTTCGATTACGTTTGAATGTCAGAGGAACACTCCATTCAGGTAGGAAGCTGGGGATACCCAAGCTCGACCTTCATATCCTCCTTGCTGTAGAAGCCACCCTTGACTTCAAGTTTCTTGCTCCGTGTAGTCTTGGATAAGACAGTGATGGTGTCGATGAAAACGGCCTGGTAGGTTTGTCTCGATATAACCTTATTTACGTATATAATTCTATATAATTATATACCTCCTGCATACTACACACAAGCGGCTACAGAATTGAGTGTGCGAAGTCATTTGTGCACGCAACGATAGACTATACTAGTTAATTGACATCCCTCCCGCCTTGACCCCTCCGGACTTCGCCCACATTTGGAAGATTTTCTGACGCCCGTTAGCAGCATCCCTCCACATGTCGAAGATGTCCTCAGGAACCTCCAAATTCCCCGACCCCTTCTTGGGGGTAACGATCCTTTTGATCTTCTCCTTCTCCAGCTTATCCAGGGTTTCGGATTTGAGAACCTTTGGGACCTCAAGCTCGGAGCTGTCATCATTTGGCACCTCACTTGGAGCCGTGGAGGCCTTGTTGTTCTTTACAGGGCTCTCAGGACACACGCGCTTAGAGCCCCTGGGACTGCTAAGCTTCACAACACCGGCCGAGGGCGACTGCAGCTGTGGCTGCGCGGCTTCCGGCATCGGCTTCGCGTTCTGCGGCTCCTCGCGGGATTGCTGCGGGGCGGGGCTCAGATGCAAATGGAGCCACTATGGATTGTGATCTTGCAATAGACTTGCAAAAGAGGGATCGATAGCATGCGAAGATTGATTGATGGCAATTTTAATTAAGTTGGGAGTCCTGCTTCTGGCTTTCGCGGAGCTTGTTCAGCTCATTCTGCTGGCTGACCATCATGAATTGGAGTAGGCCGAGCTTCTGCAAGAGCTCCTGCGACAGTTGCTGTGAAATCGGTTGAGAAGTAAGCTGCGTGCGAAGAACGATCACTGGCCGACTTATACGGATCGATTGTTCATGCGTGGGTTTTGGGTTTATCTAGGCCGGGTTCATATAGGCCGGGGTTAAAAAGATGCATGGATCTCCCTCGATCTTTCCTCACGCAAAGGATCGGACTTCGGCTTCGGGGCGGCGGATGCTGCAGGGGAGGCTGGCGTTGTCGACGGCAGAGAGGAAGGCGTGGTGGCAGGCCGGGGTTGTTCAGGAGCTTCTGTCTTGACCTAAAGTACGCGTACATATGCATGCTAGAGTTGACAGCAACCATGTGTATGCTTCGAAAGGATGCATCCAACCATGAAGTTGTGTAGCTATGCAGTCATGCATGTATATAAGCCTAGCCCAGGCACTGGGGTCAACTGCACCTGCGCAACCTGCGACTCTGTGCCGGGCTCGGTCTTCACATCCGCAACCGCGACCGCGATGGCGCCCTCGAGCTCCTGTGTTTGTATTCTACGTACGGTATAGAGCTGCACAAGACTTAACAAATCGTTTGCACCAGCACCACAAACCACATCGATTGAACAAATGAAACTATAAATGCAACTCCTTTGCCACACGCCGCAGGCTTTCGACATCATTTGATGATGCCGACCGCAGCAACTGACCAAGCCCTGAAGCCAAAGTCTCCGCTGAATGAACATCCCTCCGCAACGCCATGGCTGTGCACTCAAGGAGGACCAGGAGAGCACACGCAAAACCGCGCACCAAACCCACACAAAAAGTACGCAAAATCAGAACCGAGCGTTGCGTGCCTAAAAGTGAGTGTTGCTTGCCTAAAAGTGAGTGTTGCGTGCCCAAAAGTGGATGTTTGGAAATCACGATTTCGCGTATTTCCAACATAGATGCCTGAAGCTGATGACAAAGCATGAGAAATCGGTCAAGTCTGAACCTCTGAAGCCCGCAGGCCGGCAGAATCAAGCTCCAGAGCAAGATAACCCTGAAACCCAGAAGCCCGCAGAAGTTCGAGACCCTGAAAACTGAAACCCATGCACCTCGCAAGCCTGAAACCGACAATCTGGGATGTGAGTTTCAGGGTTGCGTGCCTCGGGGTTGTGGGCTTCAGGGTTGTAGGGCGCTTCTCGTTAATATACTAGCTAGCTAGCTAATCTCAGATCGAATTGTGTGGGTTTCAGCATTGTGCGTTCAGGGTTATAGGTTTCAGGCTTGTGTGTGTTCAAGGGCTGCGTGTCTGAAGGTTGCGGGCTTCAGGGTGGCGTGCTTCAGGCTTGCGTGCTTCAGGCTTGTGTGTTTCAGGCTTGCGTGCTTCAGGCTTGCGTGCTTCAGGCTTGCGTGCTTCAGGCTTGCGTGCTTCAGGCTTGCGTGCTTCAGGCTTGTGGGGTTGCGGGGTTCAGGCTTGCGGGCTTCAGGCTTGTGGGGTTGCGGGGTTCAGGCTTGCGGGCTTCGGGCTTGCGGGCTTAAGGGCTTGCGGGCTTAAGGGCTTGCGGACTTAAGGGCTTGCGGGCTTCAGGCTTGCGTGTTTCAGGCTTGTGGGGTTGCGGGGTTCAGGCTTGCGGGCTTCAGGCTTGTGGGGTTGCGGGGTTTAGGCTTCAGGGCTTGCGGGCTTGCGTGTTTCAGGGTTGTGGGGTTGCGGGGTCGCGGGCTTCAGGCTTATGGTTTCGGGGCTTGCGGGCTTGAGGCTTGCGGGCTTCGGGCTTGCGGGCTTCAGGGCTTCATCTGTATAGATTATTAAGCACGTACGTTTACTATATAGCTCTAGCTAGCTAGCTTGCTAGGCCCAGAGGACTTGTGTCAGGCTTTTCGGGCTGGAGGGCTTCTGCATGAGAAACTAGGAGGGTCCCTGGATACACGTGGATCATATAGGCCTCGTGCCGATCGATCGACGTTTCAAAGATCAGGAGTGGTGGGGCAGGGTTGTTTGGGCATGCTGCGAGGCTGTGTTTGCAGGGCTAGAGTTGCGAGGGCTGGGGGTTAACATCATGCATGCATGCATGCATGCATGCAACCGGCCTTACTGTAGAATTATATAAGCTACGAACAGCCCGCAACCAGAATGCATGGCCAACTGTAAGACCCCGACCCCGTAGCTCGAAAACCTACATAACCCTGAAACCCGCACCCTTCCTGCATCATTATAATCAGCACATCAACCTGAAAAGCACAGACTTGCGAGACTCCGTGCATTACGATTGCATATGTAGCTGGCTTGATAGATTAATCTAGAATTCCGTGGTGCTAGAGTTAATTGCTTAATTTTGATCGACGACACTGACCTCCGCAGCAATCTACGCGTACATTAATCGAGGTTGAGAAAAAGGGCACCCTTTGCAGACCATGTTGACCCTGAAGCCCAGAACCCTTTCATTTCAGGCCTATGTTAGCCTCTATAGACAGCAAAGCCCTACAGAACTTCCAACCGATTTAGGCATGCAGATCCGGATGGAGCTGGCTGGAGCCTTCCCTGTATGATGCTTCGATCGACACTATACAGCACACAGGTACCATTTAGGCATGCATATGTTCCTCCATGCGTCCCTTATATATGCATGCACACATGCAGACATGGAGACTCTGTACGTGCCACTATATAGCTAGCCAGGAGCAGCCCGAAACTTGTAGAAAGCCTACATAGGTCCACTCATGCACCAAACAATTCGAAACACGGACCACGCATATATTATTATAACACCGAACGACCTGTAAAACACGGCCTAGCGGGACCTTCGCATGTTGTATAGCCACACACACACGCACGCATGCCTACGTGCGCAAAGTCGGTCCACAGCACCACTCGATCTATGTAGATCTTTGCAGCCAGCAACGGTTCATCAGTGAGAAATCACTGAACATGTGCATGTCTAGTGCGCTTTCCTCTCGATCGAGATTGGACTCTTGCGGGGATAAGGCTTGCGGGGCTCAAGGTTGCAGGGCCTACGGTTGCGGGGCTCAGGGCTGTGGCCAGGCCTAGAGAGTACGTGAGGCCATATCTATATAAGGTCTATATAGCTACACAGTTACGTAAACCATCTAGCAGCCGATCGATCTAAGGAAGCACAGCAGCGAGGCATCCCCACGTCAAGGCAGGACAGCCACGAGCTTCAGTCGAGAAAAACACACACCACATGCTAATTACACATAACTTGTCAGTTTCAACCAGATGTGCGCATATGTGGCTGTCGAGACCGTTGAACCATGTGCACGCCTGCAATCTTAATTGCAGCAAAACGTGTGCCTACGAACACAGTTTGCCAACTAGTGCATGCATGCATATACAGACACGGTTCGAAAACACAGAGACACACCCCATGCATGCATGCCATGCATCCATGTATAGACGAGCTCTAGCTAAGACTCTAGATTGCGGATGCGCCCCACACCTACATCGCAACTTAGGCAAACAGGCTGCTAGGGAAGCATACCTTCCACTGTGTAGGGATACACAAGCCTTTGGCTCCATAGACATACCGAAGCAAATCCCAAAGGCCACCATCAGCCCAATCATCTTCACCCATGTCCAAGCAGCGAAGCTTCTCTATGGTCGAGGCATCTACCATCCCCGTGGGGCGCATTGGCGAGGACTTCATGAAGAACGGCAGCAGCTTGGCCATCTCTTGGCTGAAAGGCCGCGTGTATATCCTTAATTGGATCGAAGAGATGCATATTTCACAGACTCGGCAGGGGTTCTGTACTTAATTCAACTCAACCTAAGCTAGATCGAGTAGGATCATATCGAATCAACTGAGGCTGTGTCTGGGTACCCTTCAAGCTCTTGTTTCCTGTGTAGGTTTTTCGGCCTTCTTTGTTGATCTTGCGAGTCACTGGTTGAACATGACCATGACGAGCCCTCAGTACTTTCTTATCGGCAGCAGAAAGTGTCCCGTTGTTGAATTTGAGCACCTTGGGGCTGCTGCTCCAAAGTACTGTCCGTTTAGGACAGCTGTGGCCAAACTGCATCATCCAGAAACGGCAAACGTAGACCTGGGGCAGGCAGGACTGGAGGGCTTGAAACAAACAATGCATGGGCTGTCCCTAGGTTCATTGTCACATCGATGGATCCATCGATCGGTCTTAAGTTGATTTTGAGGAAACATTACTTGGCCTTGTGTGTTCTGCAAAGCCATTGGAAACGGGGATGCTTCCAGACTAACGAGGAGCCCGGCTGCTCGAGAACCCAGTTGGCACCCAAAGCCACGCAAAGAACTGAGACAAGAATAGTCCTCCCAGGTGTTGCACTACGGTCTCTACAGGCCCACGACGAGGCGGAGTTGTACTTTGGGTTTTCGGGTGCTTTCTGGAATTATAACTATATATGATAACACGTAGTTGTCCTGCAAAGCTGAGCATTGCCCATGCTGACAAACGGAAGCTGTTGATCACCCTCAGGGTTGAAGAAAGATCTCTTGCTCGAAGCCTTGCATATGGATACCCAGCTGCTGCACTGTAGCCCTTGCCACAAGGTGAATCCTGAAGATCGCCCTTTCAGAACCGAAAGCAGGTGCAACCTCAGCTTCATCAAGATTGTACTATATAGCTATACACGGATCATGGTACAGACACCCAAATGTAGACTGCTTGCATTGCATGACTTCATCTAAGACCCGCTCGCGAACCCAGGTGGAGTGCAAATATCCATGGAACGATGGTACTTGATGTCGAGCTTAGCAGTACCACGTCCATGCACTGCCTCAATCTCCTGAGACATCACCGCCTCCCCGGCGTAGTGCTCCAAGAAGAAAAAGTCCTGCATCAGTCTGTGGATTTTTTTAGGGTTTTGAGTTTCTAGGGTTTATATAGATGGCCTTGTAGGGTTTACAGGTGTTCTACAGGTTTATACAGGGGTTGGTATGTTAGGCTACGCAAGCTAGAGAGGTTCTCGAAATACTCGTGTGAGAAACACACTTCGGAACAGCTGTGCATCCCTCCTTGTCAGAGGCCTTCGTGAGCCGTTCATTGAACAAGAGGCAGAGCACGACGAGGATGAAGGCCTGCGTGAAATTGAGTCACACGGCTATATGTATTGACACAGCTCGATCCGTATACATGAATTTGATCGGCCTATGTCTGCAGAGCGGAATGCATGTGTGAAGTATCACGCATGCATGCATGATATATGGTATCTGTGCGATCACGTTTTTGCCTTGCCGGCGGCCGGCAATGAACAACATGCTATGTCGAAGTCTGCAAAACTTTCTACCATTGCCCCCTGGAGCTCCCACTGGCCTTTGGAGCTCCCAGGTTCATGAGGTTGTCCACAAGTCGGAACAGATCCATGGCCGCAGACAAGGGCTGAAGCTCTTGGGGTGAAGGTTTGTCAGATGCCAACAGACATTTACGATCATTGATGCAGAACTGACATGCAGCTCCTGCTGGCAGTCATGTACCAACCTAGAGAGTTCATGATTGCATCAATGTCAGCAGCAAACATCCGAGAGCGATCCATGTGTGCACAGAAAGTGTCCTGAAACTTCAAAGTGTGAGGCGAATCTCTCGATACGTTAAGCTAGACCTCCCGTGCCTGACTCTGACGCGAGAGTGTCTTCAGTGTCGGAGCTGCATCGCCCGCGAGGTGGCATCCAGGAGGACCTGCGCAGCGGTGGCAGGCTCCCAAGCACTTCTTCACACAGATCGAACTGTAGGATGTTCACAACCATCGCGAAAGTTACATCTCGCCCTCGTGTTCTTTAGAAGGAAGAGAAAGCAGTTCATGGGCATTTTTTGAGATGCAGGCACTGCCGGGACGAATGGCAAGTCTACCCTGCACACATTGGAACTCAAACCCTTGAAAGCCGATCCTTGGCACAGGCAGCCGACACGAAACATGTATCATTAGAACAGGCTGCAGCTTAATCGGCCTGTTATGCAGGGACAAGGATGAAAACGGGCTGTGTATTGTAATTCCAAGCAAACTGTATATGATAGCCGGCCCTCCAACTGTCTGCTGCTGGCTCCTGGCAGGAATCAAAATCACAGCGGCCGCGGCTGCTGCTGCTGCTGCTGCTGCTGCTGCTGCTACGGGAGGTTCTTTGCCCCAGGGTCCCCCCGTTGCAAGCAACCCACACTCACTCGATAAACACATCAGTGAGTCGAAAGTTTCTGAAGCTTTGCCTCATACTGCTTACGGGTGGGGCGCTTTGCGCCATTGAAAAATTTTTCTCCTTCGTCAGACCACGACTTGCCTCGATCGAGAGTGACATACCAATCGTTCCATGTTACCGAGATCTAACTATCGAAGCCACTGTTTTGTTTGGAATGCAAGCAAGAAGCTGAAATCGTCATCCGCCAAGAAATCATAGGCCATCTTGTGCACTGGCTCACTCCAACCATGTTCGTCCTCCGGGGCCTCTTCCATTGTCTGAGCCACGAACCTCCACCAGACATCCTGCAGAAGTCTTGAATTGAACCCATGAACAGGAATTGCACGGAAATCATGCATGATCACAGGCCCTATCCAGCATACACTAGCCGTCCTCCATCTTGGAATGGTTGATGAGGAAGACACGCATCCGGTCATTGTACGTGTCCCGACACGCAAAGAACTTGGCCCGGTAGTAGGCACGCTTGGGACAGTAGCGACGGGCAAATGTCGCCATTTCCTCCTCATCTTCCTCGGCCGGCTCTTCGGCCGGCTCTTCGGCCGGCTCTTCGGCCTCTTCGGCCGGCTCTTCATCCGGATCTTCGGCCGCCTTGGACTTGCGCTTGACTTTGGACGTTCGTGGCGGCGCTGCTCTATCCACCGCACCAGCGATGAAGCCCTCGCCGTAGTACGCGGTGGCGTCCTCTTCGAAATCCTCGGCCCGGGCGGTTTTCATCTTCTTCATCTTCCTCAGCTTCTTGAAGCTTCCCTTGGACACTGATCTGCTGAGCTTGCGCTTGATCTTCTTCTTGGCCGCCCGAGGAGACTCCTTGGCCTCAGTGTCTTCCGTCCAATCCCAATCGTCAGTAGGCTCCTCGTTGTCCGCGATATCATCCGATGCCTTGCACTTGCCCTTGCCCTTTGGCATCACTGTGTCATCCTTCGCCGATTTGGCCTTTGCCTTCGCAGCACTCTTGGACTTTGCAGCAGGTTTGGCCTTGGCCTTGCCTGTGGCCTTGGCCTTGGCCTTGGCCTTGGCCTTGGCCTTGGCCTTGGCCTTGGCCTTGGCCTTGGCCTTGGCCTTGGCCTTTGCCAAGGGCTTGGGCTTCCGATCACCTACATCATGGAGGTCCTCATCGGGATTCTCATTGGGCTCCTCATCGGGATTCGCGGGCTTCTTCTCGGGTTCCGCAGCGGGCTTCTCAACCTCCTTGCCTTTCTTGCCGGCACTGAGGGCAAGCTGATTCTGCCGAGTGATGACCTTGGCAGCCTCAGCTCAAACTTCCCAAATTAAACAAGCAGGCCTGAATGCAATGTGGGATTTGCAGCCACGGGCTAGTCACTAGCATTGCACATACAATGGATGGCCCAAATCACACCGCAATGCCCATTATGACTAGCAACAGGCTTCCCAAGCATCTCACACTTTTCAAGGGCACCGGCAAGGCCTTTTGCCTCAGCTTCATGCTGGGCCCGGGCATTCAACGCCTGCTCGCGAGCAAGCGCTTGCTCAACCTTAGCAGCATCCTCCGCTCGTTGTGCTTGGAGCCAAGTGTTCACATAAGCCTCGGCCATGGGTTCCCATTCTTGGGTCTCGGCATGGTCGGCCGATGAGCCCGAACCTGACTTTGGTTCAGTCTTGTACATGCATGCATGTATATACATATCCTCACGTTACGAAACGTGTGCAACTCAACTCATGGGTTAATGCATGCACAAATAGGCCCTGCACTGCCGGCTGAGGTAGAGCCTGGGTCTGAAGCGTCCTCGAAGTTCAGCTTGCGCATCACATGCGCCCCCATCTCTATTCCTTTGGGACTGGCCTCATTCCTCGGCCGAAGATGCGAGTAATGACACGGCACCCATACTGGGTTTCAGCATCCACTTCGTCATGGTACATGAAATACACACACATGCAAGGCCACTTGGATCGACAAGCCACAACTTCTTGTTGACAACGGCCAGGATCTCTCGAAGCTTCTCCGGTTGCATGCTAGCAAGTTGCCCCGCAAGCCCAGACAACTTTGCAGGCGGAGTCACTCGAGGCACGGCAGCCGCCGGCTTGAATGAGATAATCTCCTTATCACATTATTGATCGACCACACTTTCGAATGAAAGACACACAAACTCAACGCGACAGCTCATGCTAAAGCATATACATACTTGATCAAGAGTCTGGACTTCCAGGAGACAAGGGTTCCGGCAGGCTTTTCTTTGGACTCTCATGACTCAATTGTCCAGCTTCAGCATGCTCAAGCGCAACATCCGCCTCAGCCAGAATCTGGCTGTGAATGCCTGGCTCCACTGGGAGCGCCATCTCGGCATCAGGTGCCTCCACTGGAGCTGCCACCAGCTCCGAAGGAGGAGCTGGCACCGGCTCCGGCCCCGAAGGCTTCTCAGGAGCTGCCACCAGCTCCGGCCCCGAAGGCTTCCCAATCTGACGCAGCCAAGCATAAGACTCTGGGTTCAGGCTGATCCCCAGCAGTTTTTCCAACTGCTCCTGGGGTGGAGCTTTGAAGCAGGCCTCATTAGGTGAGGGCGTCGACAAAGATTCCGAAGATATGCTACGCAATCTTGCCCGGAAACTTTCATCATCTCCAGCCATCTCGTCACTATCAGCTGTAGCTGTGGTGTCCACCTCACCAGACCCACACTGCTTGGGTGACCTTGCTAGTGCACAGCGGCCTTCCTGGATTGAGCAATAACGAGGCAGAAGAATCACAATGAATGGAACGAAATGCCACAACTCCTTTAAGCTGCATGCATGAAACATGCTGATTGCTGCATGCTAGTATCGGAATACGCTTTCGAGACAGCCTCAGCCAAATCGAGAACCATCCCGCGAATATCCTCATCCTGATCATGTGCACATTCCAATGACAGTTTTCAGAGCCTCAAACAAAAACTATATCTTTTATTTCCCATCCGTGGCACACGTGGTAGCTCCCATTTGGCCCACTTTCTTTTGATCATGGTCAGCATACTCTTGATGATTTCCGCGGACTTGTTGATGTTTCGTTCTTTTCGCAACTTGGCTTCCATGGTCAAGTCCTCATCATCTGAGTGTGATTCCATGTCATAGAATTTGCGCACCACTTCTTTGATGAGGATGATCGGCTTTCGGATTCTTCCTGTTTCTGCCATCTTTCGAGTGAGTGGACGAATGATGGATGCATTCAGTTTCACATTCTCGAGAGAGGGACAGACATGTCTCCGGCCCCGACTATCCAGAAGCAGAACGTTTCGTTGTCGGGCACGTTTTCGGAGGCTTCGATGCTGTTCCCAGGCTTTCGCGCATTGAAGGAAAGATAACTTGGCCATGAGTATCAGTGAAACCGGATCTTGAACCCCAACTGCGAGTATCAATCTTTCCGCAACTTCAATCCCAAGGAAGCTTTCAAAGCAGAGGGGGAGGGCTAACCTGACCGCCAGGAAGAAGATGCTGCCGCAGCCTGCTACGATCGCCCCACCTGGCCGAGATTATTGAGTGAAAAAGGTCTCACATTACAGTTCCTAGATGCAGTAAAGGGAATGCATGCCAGCACGGCCGCATCGGAAGTCGAACTTTTGGACCGGCACGTGCACATCAGGACATGGTTTGCGAATCGAGTTTTCTTAATTGAGCGCTTGTCCTACAAGAGTCTTCGACTCTACCATCTGATCCCCGCTTTAGGTCATATTCAGCTCATCTATAAGGTGGCTCCAATGGTCGAATGTGCTAAAGTCAGGTGCTATGTGCAAATACTTCGGATATTCCTTTACTTTCCGGCTGAAAAACCATATAATTGATATCACCAGCCTATCATGTCCCGATCTGGAAGCAACTTCTATAGACCCCAAAATGAGGCTTCAGGCACGCAGCTCTGAAACAACAGACCCTTTCAGGGACCCCGCCCCGCAATGCAAGAAACAGGCGTTTTTGCCCAAATCGTGAGCGTTCGCACAACAGCACATTAATTAACAGGCGTTCGGGTTCACAGGTAGTAGTAGTAGTACTACTACTACTACCACTAGTACTACTACTACTACTACTACTACTACTGCTACTACTACTACTACTACTACTACTAGTACTAGTACTAGTACTCGTACTAGTAGCAGTCGTAGCAGTGGTAGCAGTGGTAGCACTCGTAGCAGTAGCAGCAACGGAGTAGTAGGAGTAGTATAGGAGTATAGGAGGAGGAGGAGCAGCAGCAGAAGCAGAACAGAAGCAGCAGTTGTCTTCACGCCAAGCATTCAATGATGCCTCCCTCAAGGTTCTAGATAGACCTGGGGATGGGATCTGTGCGTCCGAGGCTCCAGAAGTTGTACCGCCGATTCTTGATAAGCTCGATGAAAGTGATTAGCAACCCCCATGGGTGCGGCCTGCAGGCTGCAAGGGTTCATGTTTAGGAGGTCAAGTCACACAGCAGAATTACGTCTACATAGTCAGTTCTGCGAGGAACCACCACTCAAGACTCTGAAGGAAGAATTCCGGACCCTTCAATTTCCAAATGGCACTGCGGGCGGGCCGGTGCACGATGAGCCGCTCGAGGAGCACACGAGTGATCTGTTCCCGCACCTCGCTTCGCATGCGAAGGCCCCGTCAGAGTTTTGCAGTCTGCGTGTGGCGCAATGCTCCCAAAAAATGAGTCTCGATGTCCAGAATCAGAGGAGAGGTGAGCAAATTCGCATCGGTTGGCTCGCCCGGTTAGGCTACCCGAGCCCTCGTCCCTGAAACGACAACTCCAAGCGACCTCAGGTATGGTCGTGTCGTGGAAAAGCCAGAGCACGATGCAGCCTCGGGCAGTTAGGGATTAGGCACAGGAGCTTGGGGAGTGTTGGGTTTATAGGATTTGCAGCTTTAGGGCTTTATGGCCCAGGGGCGCCAGGGTTTCCTTGGTGTCGAAACTCTGGGCTTTTGGGGCTCTATATAGGCTTTGTGAAAGGGTGCGCGGAGCAGCGGTTTTAGAGTATGGAGTTTTTCACAGGTAGGCAGCTAGGGTTCAGGATAAGTCGGGGATCTCAAATGACTATGGCATGGCAGGTGCGGGCCAGTTTAGGAGAGCGGGAGCACGAAGCTTCAGGAAGGAATTCGTAGGGTTTATGAGTAGAATGGCTCGGGATGTAGGGTGCAGGGAGACTTGAACGGGCAGTAGGGGTTTTCGTTTTGTATGAGAAGCAATATGCTCATCTCGGTTTCAAGTTGTGGTTCACTCCGATGCAACGTCTTCCAGCTGAGCCGCTGAAGCAGTGCGTGTGCTGATTGGGGAACCGCCTCAGCCAAGCAATCCATTTGGGGTGAAGGTAAGGCTGGCCACTCAGCAGGAATATGCATCCAAAGCATGCAGAATACAAAACTGCAGGTTGGCTGGTTCGCGCATGCACTTAAATCGAAGACTACAATCCACCGCAACTGAAGCATCAGCCGCGCTACATCAACCGTCCGAGACCCTGCTCCTGACAGCACTTCAACAACCTGCTTTGCTGACCAAGGGCGGAACATCGAATGTGTCATAACTTCAGCATACCCCCAGGCTTTGCAAAGAACCGCTACACCCCGGCAGCGGTAGCATCGAGCATCACAGGGCCCCCGGGCAAGTGGTTGGCGATGGTGGTGAACCTTAGCAGCTCTGGGACTCCCTTCAGGATGGTGCACGCCCAAACTGCTGAAAAACAGCTGAGAAAGGGACACCCTACCTTCAGCCATTGCTCTGACCCTGAAACTTTTCCGAGTTCGGGGGCTTCCGGAGTCTGGGCTTCTGTGGACAAGATGAGAGGAAGCGGACCTTGACGCCCAAGCGGGCTACACTGATCTTCGAAAACGAGTGGTACAAATACTGTTACAACCTCTGCGTCTCATCTCGTTAGTAACTATCACAAGTTGCCATTGCCATGTATATCACACTTGTTCGTACCAGTACCACGTTTTCTGCTGTTGTGACGACACTGGCGAACCATGAGCGCAACCCAATAACATAGAACTAAATTAAGTTCCCCTTTGGGATCCTGTTCATAAGGGTGCCGCGCTATGTTGGGGACCTGAAAAAGGGACCCTTATTTGGAGAACTACCCACAGGACACACACACACACACACAAAAATGCGTAAGAAGACTGCTTCTGCCCGACGGGAGCTCTGAAGCCCGGATCCCCAAAACAGAAGATCCCAGGCCAGAGGAACCTGGGTTGCTGTGAAAGGATCTATTTTTTCAAGTTGCGATATTAACAGAACTATTATTTACTGTAGATCCCTACGTTACCATACTAAAAACATATTATTTACTGTAGATTCGTGAGTTACCATACTAAGAAAACTATTATTTTACTGTAGATCTCTAAGTTACCATACCAAAAGAAAACTATGATGTACTGTAGTTACTCATATTCAAGAACGGCAAGTAAGGGAGACGACTCCTCATTATTGACGCCGCTATGTTAAGCAATCGAATTCAAAACAACGCAACCCAAACCCCAAACCGACACCAAGCGGCAGCAGGAAGCGCCCCTCCGAATCAAAGTTCTCCAGCAGGTAGGAGAAAATCTCTAGACCTCTGCTTATACATTTTAGGGTTCAGGGCTTTTCGTGTTTATGTACAAATGATAGAGCAGGCTGGAGACCTGTGGCTATAAACAAACTTCTTTGAGGACCCTTTTTCAGCAGCAAAAAGAGCCCCAGGGGCAGGCTGTTACCATTCCACCGACGGGTTCAGGGTTTCAGGGTTTATGTAAACATGATAGAACAGGCAAGAGAATCGCGCCTGTATGTATGTGGTAGTAGAAAGCAGGTCCGGTTTCTCACTAGAGATGAAGGAGCTAACGTCTAAGGGTTTAGGGTTTGGGGTTTAGGCTTGTAGGATTCAAGCTTTAGGATTCAGGCTTCAGTGTTTGGGGTTTCGGGTTTAGGGTTTCAATTAGGTTTCAGGATTGAGGTTTTAGGGTTTAGGGCCCAGGGCACACAATACCATGCCAAGGCTGCTCAGAATCAGGGTTTAGCCTACGGCCCGGCACAGTGGCAGTGGAACAAACGGGCCTGCAGGCTGCGGCGTTCCAAGTTCTTGCAGGATCAATCAAACAGAGTTTCAATCTGAGATGGCTTTTCTGACCACCGACACCAGCAACGACACCAACACCGTCATCACCCCGACATCGCGAAGTCTACCGCTGCTCCCAAACCTCCCTGTCTTTCTTCTTGCAGCGATTTGCATAACATCAGAAAAACATAACCACTACCGCCGCCACTACCATCAACACGACGACATCGAATTTCGGGGCATATTGCAGTATAGCAACTACAACCAGGACCCTAAGGATTATTGTTGCGAATTGACCAAATATTGTACTAACTCTTTGAAACTGTTGCTAACTAAACATAGATGGTACCAACTCTTTAAAATTGTTGCTAATTGAACAAACATTGTACTAACTCACAATTGTAAGCTTCCAAACTTGCAGCCTGGCTCTCGACTCTCCCCGGGAGCGGAGCTTGGGGTTGACGGCGGGAAGGCCTGCGTCTGGGCCTGAATGCACCCACCGAGGAAAGAGAATGGAACCCTAAACCCTGAAAGGAGTTATAGGCTATCGGGTAGTTAAGGGTTTAGGGTTTAGGGTTTCAAGGGAAACAGAATGGAACCCTAAACCCTAAAAGGAGTTGTAGGCTAGAGGGTTTAGGGTAGTCTCCCTTGTAGCTCATTTGCATGGTTCAACCAATCATATAGTTAAGATCTTTTCAGGTAACCCAACCTAAGGACACTATAAAGGAGACAGTAGCCAGTTTGGGGGCCCAGGGAAGGGCACAGCGAGGCCCGAACCGGGTTTTCTGTGAGATCGGGGTCTGGGGTGTAAAGTGTTGAGTACATTCTTCAGCTCAAGATCCAAGCCCTAAACGCGAAACCCTAAACAAGACCTAGTGACCTAGTTCCGGCCTGCCCTAATAAAGCTGCTAGGAACCCAATCAAAACTACTCAAGTGGTCGGGTAGGGCAGCTCAGGATTGAGATACAGGCATGCATACATACATACATACATACATACATACATACATACATTCGTACATTCGTACATGCGTACATGCATACACATACATATATACATACATACATACAAACATACATGCATGCATGCATGCATGCATGCATGCATGCATGCATGCATGCATGCATGCATGCATGCACACATATGCATACACGAGCAGTTAGCATATGTGTATGTATAATCATACTGGCAGTAATAAGAAACAACTACAACAGCGCGCAAACATGAAAACGAGGCAAACAGTATTGAGAAATCATCAGGAACGGAATAACAGTAGTAGTGACAAATGTACCAGTGCTCGTGCGCTAGTAATGCTAACAGTAGCAGTGATCGTACTTGTTGCTAGCAACAACGGCGACAACAACAACAAAGACAACATGATAAACCGAATGATGCTACTACAATGGTGATCACAACATTCTCAAAATCCTAGAAAGCATCATACATAAGCAGAAAAGCTCGTCACATGCAAACAAGCTTGAGGCATGTTATGAGGTTTGAAGACACGATGTACGCAACAAATGGTGCGCCGTCAAAGCATAGTTCTATGGACTCGATTTCGAGAATCTCTCCCTCTGAAGGCACTCTACACCCTAAGAGGTCAACCGGAGTGTAAACACTATACTCTGCAGAGGCCGTATGTCCCAAAACCCTAAATCCTACGCCCTACGCCTACGGTACCATAGATGGCCACCCTAATTATGCTACCCTAAACCCCCAAAATGCCCTAAGCCGAAAATGCTAAGCCAAAAACCCTGCACCCAAATAGTAGCCAAAGGCGTTGGCTCTGGCCGTCTGCGAATTGGCTGACTGGAAGAGGTTGCAGTTCGCACCAGTGTAGAGGGTCAGCCTAGAGGTGACTTTACTGTTGAGGGATCTAAGGCTTATGAGGTTTTGGGAGTTTAGTCCAGGGTGTGGGGCTTTCGGGTTTAAGTTGCGATGAACAGCAGTTTGAGCTTATGTAGCCTGCTTGATAGGGTGCGCTACAGGGTTTCATGAGGGGTGCTCAATGAAGGTGTGGGGGCCGCATAGCAGCCCCCATGTGGATTTTGTAAGGTTCGGGTGCTTTAATTGGGTGCACAACATTATGTAGGGGCCTTAATAATTAGAAGTGTTCTGGGCTCCTGTATAGTATAAATATAATAAGTAACCCTAGGGAATAATACAGGCTTCTATATTAAGGGTATTGCAGCATACCGGGCCGCTCGGTCCTTTAGGAATCGGGGCTAGTCGGGCGTACATTGATACAATGATGAACCACTTTGGGATGTAGGGTTCCTCAACCCTAAACTCCATAAGCCCTAAACCCTAAACTTTCCTAAACCCTAAACTACAAGCCCAAAGCCCTAAACCCTACAAGCCCTATAAACCCTGAACTACGAGACCTCCAGGTTGTACTGGTGATTTTGGAAGTTCTTCACAGGGGCTTGGCGGCCCTTTGCTCAAGCTTAGGCAGTTTAGCCTTTTCGAGATTCGGTGAGTTCGTAAGGAGGATCCCTAAACTCTTCACCGAATTAAACCCTTTTTGGGGGTTTAGGGGATTAGGGTTTAGGGTTCAGGGTTTAGGGCTAAACCCTGAAGGCTGAAATCTGGACAATCAGCCATGTAAAATCGACAGGTCTCGAATCAGGACATTGACATGTGACTGCACCTGTGGAATCAAGAGCAGGGAGTCCTCTCCGCAGGGTTGCACTAGGGTTTGCACAAATATGTTATCCTTGTTCTTATCATTATCTTTGCTATCATCTGTATGTTGTTATTGTTGTCCCAATGATTGCTTTTGCTGTTACTATGCCAAGAGCTGGGGTGCACGCGCGTTCATCAAAGAAACGTTGTACCTTGGCAGTGCCAGGCTTCTGTGAGCAGATCCTAAACAGAGGAGCTTTGGGTGCTGTTTCTCCGGGGTTTAGGTCTGGGGGTTTAGGTAGGGGTTCAAGTTTAGGGGTTAGAGGTTTCGGATTGAGGGCTTAGGATTTGGGGATTTATGGGTTTAGGGTTTGTTGGGGGGTTTGGGTTTAGGGTGTCGGGTGCGTGTTGCACATCTGCTGGAGTCCTCTGGGCTCCGACACCTCACGACTGGTTGCGGAGTCCATTCTTTTGGCTGAAGGGTAGTCAGCTTTTTCCCTAACCCTCCAGGTACCTACTGTTTAGGGCCCTATATAGGGGCTCCAGTACCCTTTCTAGTATGTACCTGGGGGTTAGGGTTTGTTCCAGTCTCAACGACTTCACTCCTAGACTTGCTAGGCCATGCGCAACTTCATGCAAAGTGGCAAGCCCGGCCCGTTTTCGGATGCTGCAACACTTCTGCTGTACTGCGAGTGGTAACTTCTGACGGGCCACCAACACAATAGCATCAAAGGCATGAAGAAGAATGCTAACACTCGCGAAGCGTAATCACATAAGGAAGAACCTCATCACAGTGATGATGATAATAGTATCAGCAAAGGAATCCTTGTAGGCGTCATAAGGCGCTGGATACCGGGAGCGAGGCTTCGTTCCCATGTCGATCGCGAGCTTCTGATCCTCAAGGAGGAGCCTCGATTCAAAGCACTCGCGGCCTTATGGAGCTTAAAAGTTCAAAGGTCAGTATGGTTTGCAGATTATGTAGGGTTTCAGGTGTGTCAAGCGAGGATAGGGTCGAGTAGGGTTTTCGGGAATGGCAGTTGAGGCGAGGACACGGCACTCCGTGCTGATCTTGCCATGACTTCGACTTCGGGTTTGGGTTTAACCTAAACCCGAAGTCGAACTCGGTGGTTGCGCTCATCTGGGTGCGCTGCTTCTGGAGGATGGTCTTCAAGTGTGTCTTGTCCTCGCAGTCAGGGGGCTTATAGTGCGGTCCACTCTTCGGTGGAGCTTAGCAGACTTCAGCTTCAGGCATACGCAGGCATCATCTTTGATTGCTACTTTTACTGGTAACTAGCAGAGGCTCCGCTAAGGGCAGGGTGTCCTACGAAGGTTTGCCTAACTACAGGGCCTGGCATGCATCCTGGAACCAAGCTGGTGACAGAACCTCGCAAGGCCCAACCGACATGAATATGTTGTCCTGGCGCACACTGGTTCCCATGACCGATACCCAACGATACCCCCGATCTTTTGTGAGCAGTAGGAACTGGAGCTTGGCACTCGCTTTGAAAACCTTTGAAGACTATGAGCATTGACCTCAGCTTCTCTTGCATTGGCATAGACGCGTAAGCAACAGTCATACTGTTGCCGTGAGTGTTATCACTACCAGGTCACTACCATTGAAAGACAGGCATCATGCCGGATACAATTTACATCCTGCGCCAAAATGCCGAATCAACGCGACAAAGGCAACAGCAGCAGCAGCAGCAGCAGCAGCCACCGCCACCAGCACCAGCACCAGCAACCACAACATCAGCAGCCATCACAACCTCGAAAGCAGCAGCAACACTTACAACCGCTACTGCAACTGCTACTTCTGGTGTTACGACCACCGTGAGCATCGCCAGACTGCCCCAGGTCGCCTTCGTGCGGATGTACTGGTCAACATCCGCCTGTGACGTGGACCACTGATGGGGTGCGAGCTTGCTCATCTTATTGCACCCTTCTATTACAGACCCCCCCACAATAGCCACAATACAAGTACATTATGGTAACCTTCTGATACTCTCATATTAGAGTAACCTTGGACTTTTGTATTATACTCATGTTTCAGTCAGCACTCTACTTTCATGAACTGTACTGCCGCATAATAGCAACTACCAGTCGCTCGGCACAAGCAGTACTTTGTGAGGGATAAGCAAATTGGTGGGGACAAATGATCCGTTCCTCATTTCGACGTAAGACAATCACCAAAACAGGCCCCGATGTAGGAAGATTCTACTTGTAATGATCGCACCGATAGCACCCCAACTTCAAAAAGCTCATGCACCCGGCACTCCGCCCCTCCACGCCTTCAAGCCCGAGATCATCATCTTGGACATGTAGGTGGAGTGGATCACCGGCGCCATCTGCGGCAAACTACATGGGACTACCGGCAAGCGATGTTTGCGCACCGGATAATGTGACATGAGATCAGGCCTTGATCTCCGGCAGGGTATCCACCTTCAGGTTCTGCGTGAAGGGATCAGGCCTCGAGCGTTGTCATGAGGATTTGGGCACAACACCTGACAAGACGATTAGGCGGTTGTCATCACAGAGCTTTACGACAAGCAACCTCGGCACTGAATGTTCAGACCTAACGCCGCAGTGCTCGGGGAGTTGAAAGTTGGCCAACATTCGGAGCTACGACCTCTTGATGTAGAGACCTTGCAGGTACACACTCCTCGATGCCCTCCCAAACCTATCGCAGGAAGCTCGCACTGAGGAATCGACAGCTTCATGTTCTGTGGGAACGCGGCCAATATCAAGTTGCCTTCGGCGTTCACAACTGGGTGTTCGATCCCCTCTCAGGGATCTGCAGGGAGTGCTATGGAGTTCTGGAGCAGTGAAGCATGTCTGCGGTTCGTGCTAAGCTACCCGTAGGGCCGTAGGGTCTGTGGAAGCACCATGTTCACCGAGATCCTGTTGCAAGTCAGCACGAATCCATGTGGATTTGAGACGTCTGCAGCCTTGTCGTTTCTTGTGGTGAGACTGCAGGTAAGGATAATTGATGCCTTTTGGCAGCAGAGGGCTGCAGGAACCACCGTGACCTCTGAAGTCTGAAGTTCGCCTGACTCTGCGATCTCTCTCATCCTGGCTTCACGTTGCGGACCAGGGGCGGATCTGGACACATTGCCACGGGATGACATCACCTTACACGGAAGATGCTTCTTATCAAATTTGTCTTGGCCGTCTTCCCTGATCAGAAAGCACGAGGGCTGCGGCAGAAGGCATGGTGATAGTCGGCCAGGAACTCGGGGTAGTCATGCAAGAGCACCTGAACAGCAGCAGGTTCAAGGTAAATCAAGGGTTGAGAGGTTAATCAGTGTTTGAGCATTGGAGATATCTTCAACTGGACGTTCTCAAGCGTAGCCGGCAGTATGAAATGAAGAGTTGCAGTGAAAGGTACACTGCAACACATCCCTGCGTTGCCCAAACATCCACGACCAGGCAGACTGCTCGAAGCAGTACCTGAATTTGGACTCCTGCGAAGGCCACTGCTGGGATTCCAGATTTCGATATACAGCAACAGCACTGCTTAAGAAATCACTGGTTTAAGAAATTGAGCCCCTCGGACAGCCGCGCGACAAAAAA